CTCTTCCAGTGGTCAATTTGTACATCCCCCTCAACAGCATTTAACTGTCCTGATTCCTATGACATTATTATATGTACACAAATCTTAAACCTTCCATTACCCACTGACCTCTATGTCATTCCTTTTTTTTTTTTTTTTTTTTTTTTTTTGGAGACAGTCTCACTCTGTCACCCAGGCTGGAGTGCAGTGGCGTGATCTTAGCTCACTGCAATCGCTACCTCCCAGGTTCAAATTATTCTCCTGCCCCAGCCTCCCAAGTAGCTGGGACTACAGGTACATGCCACCATGCCCAGCTAATTTGTTTGTATTTTTAGTAGAGAAAGGGTTTTACCATGTTGGCCAGCATGGTGTTGATCTCTTGACCTCATTATCCGCCTGCCCTGGCCTCCCAAAGTGCTGGGATTACAGGCGTGAGCCACCACTCCCAGCCTATGTCATTCTTATTCTTTAAAAATGTATTCATTTGGGTTCTGCTTGAAGGAGAGCCTGAGTCAAGGATTTAGGTGCCAGCATGTTTTTAGAAGATGATTCCAGGAAGCAAGGTAAGAGGGTGAGAAGTGACATAGGGAAGGGAAGAAAGCCAATAGATGGTGCATGAATGAGCAGGTTGCCACAAAAGGTAACTGGGGTTCAATCTCACTGGGCCCTTCAGTTATTCCAACTGAGGGGTGGGGAAGCTGTGGTATTTATCCACCAACTCCCTTTCCTCATGGCTGTTTTAAAATGCACTCAAGATTTTCATCAGACATGGCAAGACACACAAATATGGAAATGACTGTTTTGAAAGAAAGAGTTTTTTATATTCACAGGTCCCTAGAAACAAGAGACAGGGCACACCAGGCAGGGATACATGGGGAAGCACCAGGGTTGGTGAATAAGTAAAGGGAGCTGGGGGGAAACATGGGCAAGAGCTTTATTTGTGGCATTCAAGAGAAAGGCAAGTCAAGCCAGGGTAAGCAGGCACAAGATTAGCTATTAATAGTTTAAATAATTTCACTTGACTCTGGGGCATAGGGCTGTCCCTAGTTGTCTGGTTCATGGCCCTGGGATGATGAGGGCAGATGGACAGTGACCCAGTGTAAGAGTCTGATGAAGGAGGTGGTTGGGGGTATGGGCTATGGATTAGCTGGTTTGCATATGGAAGGTGCATTTGCAGGTGAGTCCCTTACTGTCTCGGGGAATTGGCTAGCCCTGGGAGGAGCAGTCTCTCCAGAATCAGCAAGGCCTCAGCTGTCAAAACATCAGGAAATACAGGAAATGAAAAGGTACGATGAATACACTGAGGGTACTCTTAAAAGCATCAGCTCCCTGGCATGTATGCGGTTGGCAATGCCAAGGGGTATGGAGAGGGTACCAGCAGTGTATGGACACTGTTCTTGACCCCTCAATTACTATATGAATTTTAGAATCAGTCTGTCAAGTTCCACAAAAAAATCTATTGGGATTTGGGAATTGCTTGAATTTACAGATTAATTGGTGAGAAGTAATATGTTTATAGCATTGAGTTCTCCCATTCATAATATATATGGTCTATATTTTAATTTAGTCAGTTCTTCCTGAGTAATTTTTGTATTTGTATTTGTAGTACTATAACAAAATACCTGAGATTGGGTAATTTACAGACAGCAGAAGTTTATTTTCTCAGTTCTGGAGGTTGGGGAGTCCAAGATCAAGGCACCAGCAGGTACTGTGACTAGTGAGGGCCTGGTCTCTGCTTCCAAGACGGTGCCTTGAATGCTGGCTTCTCTGGAGGGACAAATGCTATGTTCTCATGCAGCAGAAGGAACAGATAAACCTCCCACACAAGCCCTTTTATAAGACACTAATCTCATCCATGAGGACTTGCCATTATGACTTAATCACTCCTTAAAGGCCCTACCTCTTAATATTATCTTGGCAATTAAGTTTTAACAAATATGTTTGGGAGACACATTCAGACCATAGCAATACTCTTCATGAAAGGCCTTACATATATTTTGCTAGATATATTCTCAGGTTTTTGTTGCTATTGTGAATGGAATCTCTTTTCTTTTTTTTTTTTTTTTTTTTCTTTTTTTTGGAGGGGACAGAGTTTTGCTCTGTCACCCAGGCTGGAGTGCAGTGGCGCGATCTGCAAGCTCCATCTCCTGGGTTCACACCATTCTCCTGCCTCAGCCTCCAGAGTAGCTGGGACTACAGGCGCCTGCCACCACGCCTGGCTAATTTTTTTTTTAATTTTTTTTTTGTATTTTTAGTAGAGACGGGGTTTCACCATGTTAACCAGGATGGTCTCGACCTCCTGACCTCATGATCCACCTGCCTCGGCCTCCCAAAGTGCTGAGATTACAGGCGTGAGCCACCGCGCCCGGCCTAGAATCTCTTTTTCTATTACATTTTCTAATTTGTTATTACTGATGTCTAGGAATGCTAATGGGTTTTTTTAAAGATGATCTTGAATTCAACAACCTTGCTTAACTCTCTTACTAGTCTTAATAATTTATCTGTATATTCTTTTGGATTTTCTGCATAGACAATCATACCTGTCTGCAAATACAGGTAGTTCTTTTTCTTTCCAATTTTAAAACTTTATTTCCTTCATTTCTATTATAGGTTGAATCACATACATTTCTGATGTTGGGCATCTCATAATCTTTTAAAAAATGGCATTTTCATATGTATTAACCTAACACGTTGCCTAGGACCGCCAGTGCCATGTTCAATAGAAACAGTGATAGAACACACCCTTGTCTACATCCTAACTTTGATGGAAATTGCTTCTAAAGTTTTACCATTAAGTATGATAATTACTACACATTAAGAAAGATAGGGCCAGGCATGGTGTTGCATGCCTGTAATCCCAGCACTTTGGAAGGCTGAGATGGGAAGATCGCTTGGGCCTGGGAGGTGGAGGTTGCAGTGAGCCAAAATCCCACCACTCCACTCAGGCCCGGGCAACAGTGAAACCCTGTCTCAAAAACAAAGAAGCTAGCTTGCTAATAGTGAATTATCTGATGTTGACTCTGCCCTTGCGTTATTGTAATAAAACCTAATTCATCATGATGCATTGTTTGTGTGTGTGTACGTTGCTATATTCAACTTGGTATTATTTAAAATTTTGGAATCCATGTTCATAAAAGTTAATAGCAGCTAATATTTATTTGGTTTTCTCGGTTCTGGGTATTAAGTTACTTTCCATGAATTATTTCATTTTATCCTAGAAGGCTTATTGTGAAGGTTATTTTCCCCCTTTATATATGAGGAAGTTAAGGCACAGTGAAGGCAAATCATTTTCCCTAAGGTCACAGAGAAGATAAGTAGTGGCACCAGAATACAAATCCGGATGCCTGGCTCCAGAAGCGATGCACTGGTCACTGCTCTGTGCTGTCTCTCTGTGACAAAGACCCATAATTCAGATTGTTCTATGATGTACTTTCCTTGTACATCCTTGTTCTAGTTTTGTACCAAGATTATATTATTCTCAATAGATAGACAGCTGCTCTTTTTATTTAAAGAAAACACACGTCAAACTTCTATAAAAACCTGTTTCATCCTATCCCCTTTGCTAGCCTAACTTTTACAGTTTTGCAATGGCCTCCAGGTTTTATGTCCTTTCCAAGCTCCTGTCCTGGGTATATTGGGGATGTACACATCCTATAAAGCCAGGGATCAGCAGCAGGTCCCCTGTTCCCAGCATCCTTTCAAGTCCTGGCATACACCCAAGCTCCCAGCTTCTAGCCAAGAGTCTTTTGGTCCCCATCTATCCCAAAGGACCTGCCACTGTCTTTGGTTTCCAAAGCCCAACAAGCTCCAGGCTCTTCAGCCTCCAACTGCTTTGCATTTCTTTTCTGGTTTTGGTTCATGGAGATGAGTATCTTATTTTCCAGCCTTGCCATGTCTTTATTTACTTTATATATCTCACTTATTACTGCTGCAGTTTGGAGAAGAGAGGATGCCCTCAAGCCTAACTTCTCCAAAGCATCCCAAAGGGGAAATCTGCTCTACTTCAACAGTGTTGTTTTTGAAGACTGTATGTCAACATGTCAGATTATAGCAACATGGTGTGGGGGGAGCAATATGAAAGCAAGACTGAGAGTCTTGGAGATAAGGTGGCAAAGCTGCCTTTTTACAGGTGTCACTCCCTCAGACCCTGCCCTTTCCTGCCTCGTTCCTCCAGTTGTCAGATTTGCCTGTTAGGGCCCACACAGGGGAGCAGGTAGGAGGACTGGACTGAGAGGGAGATGGAGATGCTGCCAGAGGCCCTTCTGGATCCAGAATTGAGGCAGCAGTTCCAGCCAGGTCCTGAGGTGGCAGCTGTCCCACCACCCGCAAGAGAATGGTACTGATTCCAAAAATGCGTCAAGGAGAGGGCTAGGAGAGGGATGTGCTTGTTCCCTTGAATCACCTGAGCTGCCTCTGTTCAGCCCAGATTGGAAGGCCCATTGGGGAGGATGAGGCCAGCCCACTCCAGCCCCATCCCCTCCCTTTTAACTCTGCTCCTTCCCCAGCCCCCAAGCTGGGTGAGGGGCCCTGAGCTATTCACCCTCCCAGATTCCACTCACTCTTCCTAAACGCCCTCCCTGCGAAGTCTGCAAAGAGCAGCGCTCCCTCGTGTCGGCTCACCCCGCAGTGTCGTTTCTTTCAGCAAACCCCATGCGAATGAACTTGAGATGACTTATTTGCCTAAAAGCCTCTTTGAGGTGAGGGAAGGCAAAGGCCAAGGACCTCCCGGCTCAAGCACATGCTCCTTCCCCAACAGTAGAGGGATCCTGCGCTAGCGTCTGCCGCCCTCGAGGGCTCACTCTCCCCAGCTGTACCAAGGGTGCCCGCACTGTCCTGCCTGCCTTCCTTGGGGGAAGGTTGCGAGGCCCGAGGAGATCGGGAAGCCAGGTGGCAGGTGGGGTCCAGACCACCCACGGCGTCGAAGCGGAGCAGCGGGCCGAGTTCATCCCCAGAGTGGGCGGGACTCCCAGCTGCTGCCCACGCGGGGCTTGGCCGGGTTCAGCGGGGCTCTCCGCGGGGTCCTAGTGAGCGCCGCTGCGCCAGCAAACCTCCGGGGCCAGGACCGGCGCTCACTCGACCGCGCGGCTCACGGGTGCCCTGTGACCCCACAGCGGAGCTCGCAGCGGCTGCCACCCGGCCCTGCCAGCCATGAGGCATGCGCCTTCCCTGGTCCTTTTCCTCCTGGTCGCCCTTTGCGGGCGTGGTGAGTTCTTTTCGGGGAAGGAGGGAGGGGTACCTGGGTTGGGCTGAATGGGGCTGGACTGGCCACAGGTGGGAGGGAAGGAAGGGTGCCCTGCGCCCGGGTGAGTGGCCCGAGGTTGTCCCGGCCAGATGGGGGCGTGGGCAGGGCTGAGCCCACTCGCCGAAGCAGCGGGGGCGGGCCTGCGTGGGTGGGTCTGCCAGGTTTGGAGTGGAGGCCGCCTCTTCTCGGAGCCCTTGCGAGGGCCAGGGCCACCCTCCCGAGGGCCAGGGCCACCCTCCCGAGCGAGTGTCTGTGGGCTGGGCAGCGGGGCTGGATGACACCGGCTTTGCAGGCACCGCGAGTCATCCCCAGTAGTCTGGGAGGCTGCAAGTGCACCGACTCCCACTCCCAACAGGGCCGAGGCTCCTTCCTTGCCTAAGAGGTGACTTTCTTGAAGCGTGGGCTCAGAGGAGCCGGCCACCTGGGTGGTGTAGGCACTTGGGAGTGAATCTGCTGCTCAGCCTTAGAGAGAAGTCTCCTCCAACACAGCTGTGGTAGAGATGGGGAAACTGGGCCAAGAGGGAAGGGGGCTTGCCCAAATCACCAGCCCTGGAATGTTTTGTGCTTTGCGGGTAGATCTCCTAGGAAACACATTTTATGGCACCACTGCCTCTGGTCACCCACCCAAGGTGTGCCGGGCCTGGACAGCCAGCTTGACTGAGTGCCAGGCTGGTGAAGTCGGGCCTGACACTTAGGAAGGAGACCCTAGCCCTTCTCTAGGTAGAGTGCAAATATGAGGACTGCCTTCTCAGGGTCTCAGTTTCCCCACCTGAATTCCAAGGGCCCTCCTAGCTCCTACACTCACCCAGGCTCTTCCTCCAAGCCCCAGTCAGCCTAGAGGACCAGGGCTACCTCTTCCTTGGATAGAGACCCCCCATAGTGGTGGAAGGAGGTAGGAGTCAGGGAATATATAAGGGGCTAATAGTCTGAGAGGAAGCCATAGCTGGAATTCTAAACTGTGTGAGTGTGTGTCCAGTTTGGGAAAGCATATCCAATCTAAAAATTCATATTGAAAAATATGGAAAGATATCCCCATCATTTTGGAATAAACTACAGAAAGTAAGTTTGTACTACTCCTATAAAGAAGAGGAGCTCTCACCAAAGATGGTGTCTGCAGGCAGTCGTGTATCATGGCTCTGCTACTACTTGCTGGGTGACCCTGTGCCGTTTCTTTCACCATCCTGGACCTCAGTTTCTCCATCTGTTCTATGGAGATAATATGCCCTGCCTACATATTTGGAGACTTGGATGTGTGTGAGGGCCAGTTGCAGTGTTTCCTAGGTGTGCTCCTGGGGTGGTCTGTATCACCCTGTACAGATTTCTGGGCCCCACCCTAGGCTCACAGGATCAGAATCTCTGGGAATAAAGCCTAGGAATCCAGGTGATTAATACACATGATTGAAGAAACACTAATAATATGTTATAAGCTCTTTATAAAAGATAAATTCTCTACTTAAAAAAAAATCATAGCTGCCTTTTAATAAATATAAATATCATGTTCCCTTCGTCAGTTAAGGACATACACCCCAGTTGAAAAATCACTCTGTCTTTCCAGATGCAGAATCTAATCTTTCCAATAAGATTCTGTTAACTGTTACTTTCTGTAGCTTGTATTCCAAAACAATGGGTGTATCTTTCCATTTTTTCAATATAAATTTTTAGGTTGGATATACCTTTCCAAACTGGACACACACTCACACAGTTTAGAAGTCCAGCTATGGCTTCCTCTCAGATTATTAGCCCCCTTCTGGGAGGGAACAATTTTTCCCAAGAAGGCCTGGAAGACAAAACCCTGGGCAGAGGCTGGAGGGGGGCCCACTCCTCATCAGAATCATTGAATCGTGACTGACGCCTAGTGGTGGCTTCTCTGTTTAACTGTCAGCCCATGGGCTGGGATGTGACCCCTAACCGTGCTGCAGAAGCTTCCACCCATCCGGGGCCACCCCTGCCATCTGGGGGCAAAAGGCCTGTTGCTTGTCTTTTGAGCCCAGCAAGCCTCACAGGCATTCAGTACATTGGAAAATTTAAGCATGTGCTGGGCTCGGCTCCCCCGCCCCCTTTTGGGGAGGCAAGTGGGGTGCATTCCAGTCCCCAGTATCCCTGCTGTTTATTCCCACCCTTCACCGACCCTCCCGCCCCCCACCATACACTCACAAGTACAAACACAGGCGCAGTCATGGGCACACACTGCCCGGGACAGCACCATTTCCAGCCCCTGCAGGGCAGTCTCCTTACAGGGAAGCTAATCAGGCACTGAAGAAGGCTCAGGGGTCAGGGAATACCTCTGTCGGAAAGAGGCACCTAGACCTGGCTCCTCCTCTGACTTGCTGGGGGCACTCGAGAAAGTTTCTTCCCCTCTTTGGTCTCAGTTTCCCCAGCTGAGAAACAGGGGGTTGGGCCAGATGGTCTAAGGTTCCGGGAACCTCTAACTCGAGCCCACAGCTGTTGGTCAAGATGGGGAGTCCCTCTGGGTCAGCTGAATGTCTGAGAGGCAGGGCAGGCCCAAAGGTGAGCCACCTGAGCACATCAGGTGGGCTGGGAGCTGGAGCATGAGTCCCACAGCCTACAGAGCAGCCCTGGACTTGGGAGCTCAGTCGGACCAGCCCAGTGGGACTTCAGAGATGTGGGCTCCAGCCTCCCCTAGTATTGCAGGGCTGGGGCATGGGAGCTGCAGATTCTGACCCCAGAGCTCCCTCAGACATGCCAGATGGGCTTGGGCTAGATACACCCCTCTTTATGAAATAAGTCGGTCCAAACAGACATGCTAAAGAAGGGCTGTGGGAGGGACCCAGCTCTAGCCTGGGGCTACAGACTGGCTTCCAGGGTACTCAAGCAGCTGGCCTCTGGGAAAGGGGTCCTGAGTATAAGAGGCAGGGCTCAGAATCTAGGCCAAGCATCCATAGGACCCCCATCTGGAGAGCCCAGGGCAGCCTGGGGGAGGGGCAGCAGGCAGCAGGTGCACTAGGAGCATCTTTCACAAGGCACTAAATATTGCATCTGCTCCAGATAGGCAGCGAGTTGGAAAGTGGATGGAGTAGGCAGGGTGGCAGTTCTCCCCACAACCAGGAGTCCAGCCCAGCACCCACCCCTGAGTCCACCTCAGGCCTGCCTAATTGGGTTGGTCTGTGCTCTGGGCCCTCTGGCCCTACCCACAGAGGGAGGGGTTTGGTGCAACTAGGTGAACTGGCCCTTGCGGGAAGATGTAATTGACTCCTGAGCCTGGCGAGCCAGGCAGCCCCTCGCCAGCATCCCCACCCCCACCTCTCCAGCCCGCCTTATTCCCTGATCCTCCCACCTGCTTCCCTGCCCCAGCACTGTTTCCTCTGCTCACTCTCATCTCTTTTCCTGCTCCCAGGCTTGCCTCCTCAGATGTCCTTGATTCTCCTGAGTCTCCCTTTTTCCAAGCCAGCTCCTCTCTGTTTTACACATTCTCCCTGAAGCCACCAGAGTACACAAGCTCAAGTCCCTGAACCTCACCTTTACTCCCAGACATGTGAGGGAGATGACATAAAGACCCAAACACCACTTTGCAAGAGATTGGGGGTGCGCAGAGGGGCAGATCTGAGGCTATGGAAGCTCAGGGGGGCTCCCTGCAGGAGGCGGCATTTAGGCTGGGTCTTGAATGTGGCTCTGAGCTAAGACCTCTCCTGGAAACTCCAGACGAGGAGCCAGCTGCCAGTTGGACCCCTCCGTTTGGTGTCTCAGAGGGACCTTACACTCTGTAGGTCTAAGTCTGAACCTGGAAAATCCCCCCTGCCCCGTCTCAGCTCTGTTTCTTCTTAGGGAAAGCACCACCTCGTACTCATTTCTGCACCCAAACCCACATGTGAGTAATGGGGCTGTTCCCCTGCACTGTAAGTGCTCTGGTGGCAGGAACCATTTCTGGCTTTTGCTTGCTATTATTCTCAAAATGTAGTAAAGTACCTGGCACAAGACAGACCCTCAGATAATTCATAACTGGTGGGCTGGGGGCAATCCTGGCAGAAGAAAGAGTGTGTTCAAAGAAGTGAGACAAGCTGGGTGTGGTGGTGCACACCTATAGTCCCAGCTACTAAGGAGGCTGAGGTGGGAGGATCCTTTGAATCCAGGAGGAATCGCTTGAAACCAGCCTGGGCAACATAGCAAGACCCTGTCTCTAAAAGAAAGAAAAAAAAAAAGGAAGTGAGACAGTGAAGGTCACAGGGGGAAAGGCAAACAGTAGGCTACGGCCAGAAGAGAGGGTATCTGAGTATCTGGGGTAGAGGTAGAGAGGTGGGAGAAAATCAGATTGAGAAAGATAAGCCAGTGTCAGCAGGGAAAGGGCCTTGAAAGCCGAGCCAAAACATTTGATTTTTCAATCCACCTATAGCTCTGAGAGTTGTGGGTAGGGAAGTGCCCTAGACCAGTTTGCTGTAGAAAGACCACTCTGGCAATGTATGGTACATGGATAACAGGGGCAGACTGGGGGTGGAGAGACCAGAAGGAGGGCAGGGGTGGGGAGGTGGGGACATGGCTGTAGCATTAGAGATAAGGAGGACAGACTGGGGGACTTGGAAGGTAAAAGATAGGACTAGGGTTGGGCATGGCGGCTCACACCTGTAATCTCAGCACTTTGAGAGGCCAGTGTGGGCGGATCACCTGAAGCCAGGAGTTCTAGAGCAGCCTGACCAACATGGTGAAACCCCGTCTCTACTAAAATACAAAACTTAGCCGGATGTGGTGGCATAGGCCTGTAATCCCAGCTACTCTGGAGGCTGAGACAGGAGAATTGCTTGAACTCAGGCGGCAGAGGTTGCAGTGAGGCAAGATCACATCACTGCACTCCAGCCTGAGCGACAGAGTGAGACTCTGTCTCAAAAAAAAAAAAAAAAAAAAAAGGCAGGACTAAATGGCCACTTCGATGAACCAAGGGAGAGGTCAAGAAGAGACACCCAGTTTTTGTGCCAGATATGTAGAGTGTGGGATGCCATTCATTGCTAGAAGGAAGAGGAGGAGGAAGAGGTATGGCATGGGAGGAGACAGTGGAGCTCTGTGTTGAGTGTATTTAATTTGAAGTCCTCAAGGAGAGACAGGCCTGCCAGCACCTTCGCTGCGCTGCTTCAGCCAGCCCTAAGGGCACCTGTGTTCCCTCTCAGCTCTCCCCTTCGCTGCCATGGGCTGCAGTGGGGGTCAGGTGCACAAGGGCCCAGCAGGTCTGACTGTGTGTTTTCCCAGGGGACTGCCGCGTGGCCAATGCAGAGGAAAAGCTGATGGACGACCTTCTGAACAAAACCCGTTACAATAACCTGATCCGCCCAGCCACCAGCTCCTCACAGCTCATCTCCATCAAGCTGCAGCTCTCCCTGGCCCAGCTTATCAGCGTGGTAGGTGCAGAGGGCAGCTGTGGCTCAGGCTCAGGCCGAGAGGCTGCTCATGCCCAAGCCCCAGGCAATCATTGGCCAGAGGAATGAAACTACTATAGTTGACTTAGACTTACCAGTACACGTCAGGGAGGCTGCAGAGGGGTCCATGAAGTTCATAGGTGTCCAATATTTAGTGAAGGCATGGTTTTGTTATAACAAAGAAGAAATGAGGGTAAGATCGGGGTGACATTGGGTAGGCAGCCAATGGGCCTGCCATAGACTCTGCTCAGCTGGGTCTCCAGCGTGACCATAAGCTTCTGTTCCTTGTCCTCACAGCCTCACCCTATTCTCTCCCCTAGCCTGCTCAGATAACTTTATATGCTTCCTACTTGTTGGGAGAAATAAGAACCAGACTGGGGGAACTGATGGATACAGAGGCCCAGGTGTAGGGGCAGGACCAGGGGCAGTGCAGTACCTATAGAGCCAGGCGGGTGAGGGTCTGGACGGTGGGCGTGGCTGCTGCAGGCATGGAAAGGAGGAGTGGTACTGTTGTCAGGTTCTCCATATGTGGATGTGGGGCAGAGGTGGGGGTGCTGAGAGAGGAGGTGCCTGGGAATTTCTCTTCTCTCTGCTGCCTCTGAGTTGAAGATGTCAGAGGGAACCATGGCCTATTGTAAACCTTCCCATGTCCCCATCCACAGGGTTAGAACCCCGTCCCTGGAAGCAGCTCTGGGGGATCATTCACAAGGGGAGAGTGCAGGGCGCTATATCCAGCCAGGGGAAAGAGATCACTAAGGGGGCTGACCCTCCTCTGGCCAGGTGGCTGCCTTCTGAAATGCTAGACTCTCTCTCTAACACGATTGGCCCACACACACCCAGCCTGTCAAACCTACAGCCCTCAGGAAGCTTTTGGCCAAATTAATGACTGGCTCCATCTCCTGGGAGAACACACAGCCCCAGGATGGGGAGGGCTGTAGAGCTGTATACTCTCTGCCCCTCTCCCTCCATAGTCAGACAGGAAAGAAGGAGGGCTTTCAGCCAGGCTTGCTCAGGCTGGTGTCTGAGTGTTATTGTCCAGTCCAGTGTTTCTTGCTTAATGAGGTGAGCCCAGCTGCTGCTGTGCAGCTGCTGCCCTAGTGAGGGTGAACAAGCGGGAGGCTCTGCCGCACTTCCAGACTCAGGCTGCCTGGTCAGATCTGCTCTGCAGGCCCTATAGGGTGATAGAGGCTACCAGAAGGAGGAGGGGATGCAACCACCAGCCCCCAGGCATGCAAGTTGTATTTCTGAAAGCTTATGTATACAGTAAATATTAGGTTGTGGGTTGCCAGGCCAGGAGAGGGTATTTTCCTCCTATTTTTCAGGGTTTATTTATTTGAGGAGGGAGGGTTATAGGTACAACCAGTTTAAAGATGGAAATCTTTAGAGAGCATGTAGGGATTTAGTGCTGGGTAAGGCAAACAGGCTTGTCAAAGCACCTGTTTTGTAATTGACTTCTGAGTCTGGCGAGCCAGGCACTCCCTCACCAGCATCCCCACCCTCACCTCTCCAGCCCTCCTTACTCCCTGACCCTTCCACCTGCTCCCCTGCCCCAGCACTGTTTCCTCTGCTCACTCTCATCTCTTTTCCTGCTCCTTGGCTTGCCTGTTTTGAGGTCCTTGACTCTCCTCTGAGTCTCCCTCTTTCCAAGCCATTTCCCCGTACTTGACACTTTCTCCTAGAAAACACCAGCATACACAAGCTCAAGTCCCTGAACCTCACCTTTACTCCCAGACATGTGAGGGAAATGACATAAAGACCCAAATGCCACTTGGCAAGAGATCAGGGGTATACAGGGGGCAGATCTGAGGCTATGCAAGCTCAGGGGGTAAGTTTAAACCCAAATATATCAGTAACTACATTAAATGTAAATGGCCTAAATATTCTAATCAAAATGAGACAATTGCCATGCATTCTTCTTCTCCCTTCTCCTTCCCCACCAACAGCTTGGAATGTGGAATTTATAGTTGGAGCTCCAACAGTTATTTTGGTCCATTCTTACAAGGGCCACACTCTAGGTATGGTGGAGAAGAAAGTAGGAAAGAATCTGGGTACCTATCAGAACTTTGTAGAGCAGAACTGCCATATATGTCTAAAGTGTTAACATGAGAGGGACAGGCTACTTTATTTAAGCCTGTGTTACTCTGGATCACTGTTACTGGCAGCCAAACCCTATCTTACTGGTAATCTTATATAGTTGTAGGTTCTTTGGGGAAATGTCTCCCAAAATGAGATCAGTATGCTGGAAGTTATCTTGATGAAGGAGAGGCAGCAAAAATAGTACAGATTGAGAACACAAGACTTATCCAAAGTACTAAAGAAGGCCAGGGGGCTGGAGTACAGAACAGAGGGACATAAAGAGGTGAAGTGTGGCTGGGAAACCTGGCAAGGCCCTGTAGACCCTGTGAAGGAGCAAGATTTTTATTCTGTAAGTGAAGGAAGCCAAAGAAGTAATCTAAATAGGGATAAAATTGAGGGAGGAAATGACAGGAACTTTGGAAGGTTTATTTTGGCTGCATAGGAAGAAGAGATGTGTGTGTGTGTGTGTGTGTGTGTGTGTGTGTGTGTGTGTGTGTGTGCGTGTATGGTGGCGGTGTACAGAATGAACATAGACCAGTTAGGAGGGTCTTACATGGTACAGGTGAGACGTGGATGATGGTGGCCTGGCTTATTATGGTAGGATTCATGTATTTACTCAGAAAAGATTTATGGAGTATCCAACATGTCACATACTCTTCTAGCTGCCTTATTTCCTCATAGCCACTAGATTCTAGTGGGAGGTGGCAGACAATACACAGATAGATAGATAGATAGATGGTGTTTAGGTATGAGAAATGCTATGGAAAAAAAATAAGAAGACTGGTGATGTGGCTTGCACCTGTAATGCCAGTACTTTGGGAGGCTGAGATGCGTGGATCACTTTAGCTCAGGAATTTGAGACCAGCCTGGGCATCATGATGAATCCCCATCTCCACAAAAAATTTTTTTAAATTTAGCCAGGTATGGTGGCCTGTGCCTGTGGTCTGAGCTACTCAGGAGCCTGAGGTGGGAGGATCACTTGAGCCTGAGAGGTGGAGGTTGCAGTGAGCAAAGATCACGCCACTGCCCTCCAGCCTGGGTGACAGAGTGAGACCCTGTCTCAAGAAAAAAAACCACACACACACACAAGAAAGAAAAATAAGGCAGGGCAGGGACAGAGATGCTATTTTATGTAGGTCAGGGAAGACTTCTCGGATAGGATGACATTTCTGAGAACAGAAGAAAGTGTGGAAGCATCCCGGTGGGTTTCCAGGAAAAGGGAACATTGTGTGGGAGCAAAGAGGCAGTGCAGTGGAAATGGAATGAGCAAATGGCAGAGTGTTGAGATAAGAGGTCATAGAACTAATGAGATGAGGGGTGGTGGGGAGGCAGATCATTAGCACCTTGTAGACTCTAAGCAGAACTTTGGTTTTTACTTTGAATGAGATGCAGCAGCAGAGCAATTAGTCGAAGGGATTGAGATTGTAAAGGGATCACCCTGGTTACCATGTAGAGAATAGACTAAAGGCAGGCCAGGGCAGAGCAGGAAGCCCAGTTAGGGGACTACTGCAGTAGTCTAAGTGACAGATGATGGTGGCAGTGGAGAGAAGCAGACAAATATGAGATGCTTTAGGAGATATAACTTACAAGACTTAAGTTTTTGTCTTAAGTGATGGATGGATCAGAGAGCAAAGTGTCAGAGACAATGTCCACACTTCTGGCTTGTGGAACTGAATGGCTAGGGGTGCCATTCACTGAGACAATTAAGCCAAAGGAGGATCAGGTTTTGGGGAAGATCATGAGCTTTGTGTCAAACATGCTGAGTGTGACATACCTTTGGGCCATCCAAGAGATGTTGGTGCTGAGTGTGACATACCTTTGGGCCATCCAAGAGATGTTGAGGTGGTAGTTGGTCACATGGGCCTGGAGCTCACAGCCTTTTGCACAATAAAGTGAAATCCATTTGTGAGGCTCCTCCTTCCTGGTTAACTGATAGCCCTGTTTCCCTCCCCAGAATGAGCGAGAGCAGATCATGACCACCAATGTCTGGCTGAAACAGGTAAGTGCCCTGAAGGGCCCCTAGCCCAAGAGATCTTTTCTTGAGGGCTGCCCTTTGGTGGCAGTGGACCTACAAGTGACAGGGCCTTGCCTGTCTGTCCAGGAATGGACTGATTACCGCCTGACCTGGAACAGCTCCCGCTACGAGGGTGTGAACATCCTGAGGATCCCCACCAAGCGCATCTGGTTGCCTGACATCGTGCTTTACAACAAGTGAGTGGCAGGGTTGGTGGAGGCCTGGTGACAGCCAGGCCAGGGCAGCAGGCCCAGCCCTAAGAGTCATCCAGGCCTGAGTCCAACCCTGAGCCCCATGTCTGCTTTACCCAGCCTTCCAGGCCATCAAGCTAGAAGAGAAACAGAGGTGAGCAGAGCCAGAGCCCTCAGTTACAGATGAGGAGTTCGAGGCTGAGGGAGGGGAGGGGCCTTATCTGATTCACTGAAGCACAGCTGGGACCAGAGCAGTGTCCTGACCTCAAGCCCAGTGCCCTTTCTGTGCTCCATACTATTCTTTCGAGCCTCTGTTGCTTTGCCAGTGTTGGTGTTGGTACCACTGACTTACTATGCATAGATATCTTAGGCAGGTGGAGGAAGCCCAAGAGACTCTCCCTGAGTCATGATTATACCAGCAGTAGCATGTAATGGCTAAGAGTGTGTGGTCTGGGGTCAGACAGACCTGAGTTCAAATCTCAGCTGTCCTGCTTACAACTTTTCTGACCTTGAAGAAGTCACTTAACCTCTCTGGGCCTTGGCTTTCCCATCTGTAGAATGGGGATAATAATAAAACCTGCCTCACTGGACTACTGAGAGGCTTAAATGAGCTATTCCATGGGAAGCCTTAAGAGTGCTTGACCGACCGGGCATGGTGGCTCACGCCTATAATCCCAGGACTTTGGGAGGCTGAAGCGGGTGGATCACCTGAGATCAGGAGTTCGAGACCAGCCTGATCCACATGGAGAAACCCCATCTCTACCAAAAATACAAAATTAGCCGGGCATGGTGGTGCATGCCTGTAATCCCAGCTACTCGGGAGGCTGAGACAGGAGAATCGCTTGAACCTGGGAGGTGGAGGTTGCGGTGAGCCAATGTCACACTATTGCACTCCAGCCCGGGCAACAGAGTAAGAGTCCGTCTCAAAAAAAAAAAAAAAAAAAAAAAAAAAAAAGAATGCTTTGGTGCTTTGATGGTAGGGCTCTCTCCATGACATAGTTGCCAACAAAAGCAGGCCCCTTTCAGTGAGGGCCTGGGGGACTGGAAGGGTGGAAGGATGACTAGTGTGAAATAATCCCAAAGAGCTCTTCAGTGAGTTCTGAGAACAGGCCAGGCCTTGTGTATGGGTTTCACGATGTTCTTCATGCCCTGACCCTGCCCAGCGCTGACGGGACCTATGAGGTGTCTGTCTACACCAACTTGATAGTCCGGTCCAATGGCAGCGTCCTGTGGCTGCCCCCTGCCATCTACAAGAGCACCTGCAAGATTGAGGTGAAGTACTTTCCCTTCGACCAGCAGAACTGCACCCTCAAGTTCCGCTCCTGGACCTATGACCACACGGAGATAGACATGGTCCTCATGACACCCACAGCCAGCATGGATGACTTTACTCCCAGTGGTGAGTGGGACATAGTGGCCCTCCCAGGGAGAAGGACAGTGAACCCACAGGACCCCAGCTATGTGGACGTGACTTACGACTTCATCATCAAGCGCAAGCCTCTGTTCTACACCATCAACCTCATCATCCCCTGCGTGCTCATCACCTCGCTGGCCATCCTCGTCTTCTACCTGCCGTCCGACTGCGGCGAGAAGATGACGCTGTGCATCTCTGTGCTGCTGGCGCTTACAGTCTTCCTGCTGCTCATCTCCAAGATCGTGCCGCCCACCTCCCTCGATGTGCCTCTCATTGGCAAGTACCTCATGTTCACCATGGTGCTGGTCACCTTCTCCATCGTCACCAGCGTCTGCGTGCTCAATGTGCACCACCGCTCACCCAGCACCCACACCATGGCACCCTGGGTCAAGCGCTGCTTCCTGCACAAGCTGCCTACCTTCCTCTTCATGAAGCGCCCTGGCCCTGACAGCAGTCTGGCCAGAGCCTTCCTGCCCAGCAAGTCACACGTGACCAAGCCCAAGGCCACCACCACCTCCACCAGCCCCTCCAAACTCTATGGGAACTCCATGTACTTTGTGAACCCTGCCTCTGCAGCTCCCAAGTCTCCAGCCGGCTCCAGGGATTTCTGGCTGCGGTCCTCTGGGAGGTTCCAACAGGACGTGCAGGAGGCATTAGAAGGTGTCAGCTTCATCGCCCAGCACATGAAGAATGACGATGAAGACCAGAGTGTAAGTTGCTAGCCAGCCCCTGCCCACCTGCCCAACAGAAAGGGCTCAGATAGTAGCACCAGCTTCCCACTTCCTGCAGTTAATTCACAGGAGACAAGAACTCTCAAACTCTGAATAAGGAATCCAAAATTGAAATGAGTTTGTGTTAAATATTATAGCTTCATGCATCCGGGGAGAGGAAGGAAGTGCCAGTGATTTTGTTTGTTTGTTTTAGGTGTCCCAGAAGCAAACCCTAAGATGGGGACTTGGGTGCAGGTGGTTTACTTGGGATGTGATCCCGGGAAGCACAGTGAGGAAGGAGGGAAAGTGAGACAGGGAAAGGAGAATGAATGAGCAGGATACTGCCATGGGTGCCCGGGACTCAGTACCCTTGCAGACCCTCTGAGGACCCGTGGGAACAAGCCTCAGGATCACCCCCCTGGAAGGAGGCTGAGGTATTTACCCAGCAGCCCCCATGCCCTAAAGGATGAGGGTAGCCCCAGGACATTAACTCCCCTGCGCTTCCAGGTAATGCCAGCCTGCCAGAGAAAGCGCCCTTGGTGCTGGAGAAAGCCCTGAGGCAGAGGAGAAAGGAAATGCAGGCACCAGAAACGGAAGGCTGGGAAGTGACTCTGCAGGCTTTAGGGAACACAGGTGGGCTGGGGTACCAACCGCATCTGCCCCATCCTCTTCAGACTTGCAAAGAAGCCATTCAAGCACTTATAGCTTTCAGGGCTTTAGGAACATCAGTAAATATACTATGATTACCACGGTAATGAATTAATCAATTGTGCTAACTAGAATTACAGATTTTTTATTTTATTTATTTATTTTTTATTTGAGACGGAGTTTTGCTCTTGTTGCCCAGGCTGGAGTGCAGTGGCACAATCTCGGCTCACTACAACCTCTGCCTCCCAGGTTCAAGTGCTTCTCCTGCCTCAGCCTCCCAAGTAGCTGGAATTACAGGTGCTGGCCATCACACCTGGTTAATTTTTGTATTTTTAATAGAGACAGGGTTTCACCATATTGGCCAGGCTGGTCTTGAACTCCTGACTTCAGGTGATCCGCCCACCTCAGCCTCCCAAAGTGCTGGGATTAGAGGCGTGAGCCACCGAACCTGACCTAGAATTACAGATTTTTTAAAAAGAGGCTTAATTTACTTTCACAGGATAAAGCAATGAGTGCTGGAGTCTGGGTATTTCACATGACTCCTTTGAATAAATAACACTTCTAAGGACAATGTCATAGTAACAACACAGAATGTAGTGGTGGCAGAAATTTTCACACCCATTTCCATACCAGGAGGGAGAACAAGTTTCGTGCTCTTGTGAATGTTCTCATATCAGCACCTTCAGATCAGATTTTTTGGGCAGGTTTTTACTATACAACATGGTGTCTACCCCATGCAGCTGCATGGACAAAAATGGACGTCTCCTCATTCTTATCTTGTCAAGATTGCTTTCCACTCACTGCATTCTCAAGGAGAAGCACCGGCATTCCATTAGTTAGCCCACAGAGAAAAGAGCAGGAACAGCTCCAGAATCACACTGTGCCAAGAAGAGAAGAGAAATGCAAACAAATGGAATATAGGACCTGAGATATTCTTCTGGTGTAGTTCTTGGACCAGCAGCACTGGCATCACCTGAGAGGTTATCAGAAATGCAGAGTCTCAGGCCCCAGTCCAAACCTGCTGGCTCCAAACCTGCATTTTAACCAGGTCCCCAGGAGATTCCCAGGCCCATTGCAGTTTGAGAAGCACAGCTTTATAGGATTCTCAGATTTCACTTTCTAAAACGTTAATTTGATCATGCTATTACTTAGGTTAAACCATTCTGTAGGTCAGCATCACCTAATTCATTGGTTCCCAAACATTAATATGCAGCCTGGGGCCCTGCTGGCTAAGTGAGAACCACGTGGGCTATGCTGTAGGACCACCCTTTCTTGACTGAACCAGGATCTCTCAGGGAGGCATATTGGAGCCTGCATTTTTAACCAATTCCTAGTGGTTCATGTGCACATTCTAGATTGAGAAGTACTGGTCTCCTGCGTCCCTGGCTGAGCCGGCACCCACCTTGAACTCTCTTCTAAAGACCTCACCACCCCCTTGGCACCCACGTACCTTCTGCTCTTTCTAGCTCAATTAATTACAAGCCTCTTAAGGGAAGGAGCCAGGCAGGACCCCTGTTATTATAATCACCAGTGTTCATTAAGCTCCAACCACACATCAGGTGCTCTGCCAGGAACTGACATACATTACTGCTAACCCTCCCTGGAATCCTGTGAAGTGGCTTTTAGTAGAACCCCCATTTTACAATAAGGAAGCTTTCAAAGCAAAGCTCAGAGAGGTTCACTGACTTGACCAGTGGCACACAGCTGGCCCAGGGCAGTGCCAGGCTCTGTACCCAGATCTACCTGACATCCTTAAACTCTCTTGCCCTTCCTAGTTTCTCGCCCTGCACTGAGCACATGGCCGGCTTATTGGTTGATTGACTTTCTCATGGATAGTTGGAGAAAAGAGGCTTTCTTCCCTTCCAGAGCATGCCTGCCCCTAAACCAGCCCATGCTGCTTCTCATCTTCAGTACTTTCACCCACCCTGGTGATTAACTGGTCACTATAAATAGCACAAAAATATTAAAAGGGGGAAAAGCATGTGCGCGCACACACATACGCACACGCACACCGCTTGAAATTAGGGCTGTTAAAAAGAAACCCAGGAAAGCCAAGGAGTGCTCTGTGGAGAGAGCTGTGCTGTGCCTGCTGAGTCTTGGGGACAGGTGCCAGTCATGCTTGGTTGCAGGTGTCGGGGTTGGCTTGACACAGGATTATCCTGCACATTAGATACACCGTTGACAGGGCCCTGACAAATTGGGTCACTGACGTCAGCATGCCCGTTGCTGCCCACATTTCCAACTCCAGAGCCTCTGCTGATTTCCCAAGCCTTCTGATCCAGCCCGTCTCTGCCAGGGAATGAATGCAGTGTGAGCCAGCCAGTCCAGGGGTGTGAAAGCAGGCATAGGGGAGGGAGGCCAGGATCCTGGGCACACGGGCGTTTCTCTGGGCTCTCCCCCAGTGCAAAGGAGACAGGGCCCATCTGTGGTGGCCCCTCTGGAGGCCAGCCAGGTCTCTGCCAACCTTATACCCTGCAGCAGGGTCTAAGAAGACCACAGAGACCTGGATGGTGCAGCAGGAGGAGGCTGGGTCTTAATTACAGGGAACAGACACTGTTGTGAACAGACTTGAACAAATTAAACAGTAGGATTTCCAGGTGTTCTGTAAGCCCCCGTTTCCCTGCTCTCACTGAACTAGGTGAGAGCCACCTAGTTCTTTCTTTAGCTAGAACCAGCTCAGGCAGTGAGTTTGGGGTAAAAGTGAGAAGATGGGGCTTCAAGATCCTCAGGCCCTATCTCCTATTTATAACCAGATTTTGTTTTCAAATCACAGTATGTGGTATTAACAAGCCCTCACGTTCCTAACTTTTCTGTACAGCCCAAGTTCCCAGTGGCCCTAAAGTGCTGTGGGGGACAGGCAGGGGTGGAGGTGGAGAACAGCCAGAGAGGCTCAGAGCTGCCCAGCTGATAGGCCAGTCTGGGACTCAGAACTTGCCCCACTAGTATGCAGTTCCACACCTGTGGCCTGTGGAGTCCCTGGCCAGATAGTAAGGGCCTGACTTGGGGAAAGGAGGGACCCCAGTACTTGGCACCTGTGACCAGTCCTTCTCTCTGCCTGCAGGTCGTTGAAGACTGGAAGTACGTGGCTATGGTGGTAGACCGGCTGTTCCTGTGGGTGTTCGTGTTTGTGTGCGTACTGGGCACTGTTGGGCTCTTCCTACCGCCCCTCTTCCAGACCCACACGGCTTCGGAAGGGCCCTACGCTGCCCAGCGTGACTGAGGGCCCCCGGGTTGTGGGGTGAGAGGATGTGAGTGGCCGGGTGAGCAGTTTGCTGCTTCCTTCTGGGTTGCGGCTGATGAGGCCCTAAATAAATTTGACCACTGGCCATCAACCCCATCAAACCAGCCACAGCCATGGAAGAGGCAAGGATGGGGGCCTGGACTGTCCTCTCTGAATGCCTTGGAGGGATCCCAGGAAGCCCCAGCAGGAGGGAGCTTCAGACAGTTCAATTCTGGCCCGTCTTCCTTCCCTGCACCGGGCAATGGGGATAAAGATGATATCATAGCAGCACCTACTATGCGTCAGCCATGGTGCCGGCCTGCCTCTCCATCGCCATCTCCCTCCACTTCCCCTTGTCCAGTCCCTCACACACTTCTAGTTTCTTCCCAGCTCAGAGGCTTGGCATTTGCCATATCATCTTTTTTTTTTTTTTTTTTTTTTTTAATGGAGTCGTGCTCTATCGCCCAGGCTGGAGTGCAATGGCACAATCTCGGCTCACTGCAACCTCCACCTCCCAGGTTCAAGTGATTCTCCTGCCTCAGCCTCCCAAGTAGCTGGGATTACAGGAAGCTACCACCACGCTCAGCTAATTTTTGTATTTTTGTTGGCCAGGCTGGTTTCGAACTCCTGACCTCAAATGATCCACCTGCCTCGGCCTCCCAAAGTGCTAGGATTACAAGTGTGAGCCACTATGCCTGGCCTTCCCTATCTTCTACTTGAACCTTCTTCCTCTTCCCCCAGGCTTCCCAAGCTCTTTCCACAGCCACATCAGTCAGGGCATGGCTCCAATCTATTCTTTGCTTCAATGTCACCTCCTCTGAGAGGCCTTCCCTAACCACCCAATCATTCTAAAGCAGCCTCCCTATGATCACATTACCCTGCCTCCTTCCTCAAGCACTCCTTGGTACCTGCCACTTTTATCTGGTGGCATATATGTCATCCACAACTCACCCACTGGAGTGTGAGCTCCATGAGAACGGGGACCTGCTCCTTCACATTCATGGTGGTATCCCCAGGGCCTAGGACGAGCTTGGCACACAGTAGGTGCTCAATAAATGTTTGCTGCATGAATGAATGGCTCCTACCCCTCCTTCAGATCCAAATGCCCCTCCTCTGAGCAGCCATCCCGAGTTTCCCCATCTGAAAGGCATGGCTTGCTCCTCCATGACTCTACGGCGCTGGTCATTTTGCAGTTCTCTGTCATGGCTGGGTTCAGGTCTGTCTCCCACACCGATGCTGATTCACTCCTCACACATATTACCTTTTGCACAGTGTCTGGCATGTAGTAGGCACTCAAAATATTGGTGGAATGGAGGAAGACGTTCTAAACAATTCTATTTTAAAAATTACTATACAATAAAATTGACGTTTAAATATATAGTTCTAGGAATTGTAACACATGTACAGATAACCACCATCACAATCAGGACACAGGAAAGATCTGTCATCCAGAACAACTCCCTGCTGCTATTCCTTTAGACTCCTGACTCCCTGCACTCCTAGCCCCTGGCAACCACATATCTTTTCTCCATCACTACAGTTGGGTCTTTTCAAGAATGCCATTTAAATGGAAACATACAGTAGTGACCTTTGGAGACTGGCTTCTTTCATTCAGCATAGTGACTTCAAGATTCAATCAAGCTGGGGTTTTTTGTATTGCTGAGGAGTGTTCAGTTGTATGATGTTGACGCATGTTTAGGCTGTTTCCAGTTTTTGGCAATTATTAATACAGCTGATATAAAGATTCACATATAGGATTGTGTATGAATAAAAGTTTTCATTTATTTAAACACTCAGGAGGGTAATTGCTAGGTTATATGGTAAGTGTATATTTAACTTTATATGAAACTGTTGAGGCCAGGCATGGTGGCTCACTCCTGTAATCCCAACACTTTGGGAGGCTGAGGCTGCGAATCACCTAAGGTCAGGAGTTCAAGACCAGGTTGGCCAACATGGTAAAACCCTGTCTCTACTAAAAATACAAAAATCAGCCAGGCATGGTGGTGTGTGTCTGTAATCCCAGCTACTCGGGAGGCTGAGGCAGGAGAATCGCTTGAACCTGGGAGGCAGAGGCTGCAGTGAGTCAAGATTGTGCCACTGTACTCCAGCCTGGGTGACAGAGCGAGACTCTGTCAAAATAATAATAATAATAATAATAATAATAATAATAATAATAATAATAACATGAATGAAAAAAAGAGAAAGAAACTGTCAAAGTGTTTTCTGGAGTGGCTGTACCATTTTGCAATCCCACCAAAGTATGAGAGATCCAGTTTTTCAGCAACTGGATTCCACCCTGGTTTTAATTTGCATGTCCCTGATGGCTAGTGATTTGAACATCTTCCATGTGCTTTTTTTTTTTTTTTTTGTCTTCTGTATACCTCTTTGGTGAAGAGTCTGTTTACCTCTTGCTCATTTAAAAAATTAATTGTTTGTTTCCTTACCATTGAGACTTTTTTTTTAGAAAACTTTATTGAGGTATAATTTACATACCATAAAATCCACCCATTTTAAGTGTACAATTCAATGAATTTTCATACATTTATCACCAGAATCCAGTTTTAGAACATCTGCATCACCCCAATAAGATCCTTCATATGCATCTATACTTACCGTTGAGTTTTGAGAGTTCCTTATACATTCTGGATACAAGACCTTTGTTGGATATATGACTTACAGTATTGTCCCAATGGGGGACATTTGCCAAGAGATGAGAATGCTATAATTGGGGGCCTGAGAGGTGGGTCCCAATTCTTACAAACATCTTCCATTCCACAAACTGTCTCCTTTTGTTTGGTTTTAATATGGGTAAGCAGCACATTCTGGAAACAATAAAGGCAACTCACCATCTGAACGCCAGGAGGAGAGTTTATGACAGAACTTCCTCCTGCGATAAAGGGATGTCAAAGAAGCCAACATCAAGGCACCACCCCTATCCCTGGTGGGTGGTCAGAGAGGGCAGGAGGCTCCAGGGCACACTGCCTAGCCAATCAGTGCACATTCTTGGGGTTGCAGATGGTGGTGGGGAAGGGGATAGAGGGGTTCTGTGGGGGACTAGGATGGGAACCCCAATGCCCTCTCAGATTGCTCCATCAGAAGAGCAAATGAGGCCAGACACAGTGGCTCATGCCTGTAATCCCAGCACTTTGGGAGGCCAAGGCAGGAGAAGCGCTGAGCCCAGGAGTTCCAGACCAGTCTGGGCAACCACAGGGAGAAGCCCCTCTCCACAAAAATAAAAAATTAACCAGACGCGGTGGTGCCTGCCTGTGGTCCCAGCTGCTTCAGAGGTTGAGGTGGGAGGGTCGCTTGAGTCGGGGATGTGGGGACTACAATAAGCCAAGATGGAGCCACCGCACTGCAGCCTTGATGACAGGGTGAGACCTTGTCTCAGAAGAAGAAGAAGAACAAATGAAGCCTCATTTTAAATTCTGTCTTATCTTTCTTTAGTTTTGTTGGGAGAAAAGCTGTGCTGGGAGAGAAGCTGAGGCAGGGCTTGGAACATGTCCTGGGTCCAGGGTAAAATCCCTCATGGCCTTTGAAACGTGTCTAGACTTGCCAGCTCCTTGCTTCTAGCACTCCCATTATCTTAAGTAGCCATGTTTCAAAGAAAAATGCTAAACCGTCACAGTTGTAGTTCATTCGCTTCATACATCACTTCCTTTCAACCCCCACATCCTCACCACCTGTTTCTTTGATCATCAATAAATAGCATGGGCTCCCAGCGCTCAGGGCCTTCCCAGCCTCCATACTAGGGTTGGACCCCTGGTCCCACTTTCTCTCTTGCCTTTTCTAATTCCTTTGACTCCGCTGGACTTCGTTGCCCCCACGGCCTGGTGTTGGGTCCGATCACCCCAACAAATTTTCATTAAGGAACAAGCCAAACATAATCTAAAGAGCAGTATAACCTCCAGGTACCATCACCCTTCCTAGACAATTATCAACTCATGGCCAATATTGTTTTAACTAATTTCTACCCACCCCTAAACTATAAAGACTTAAAAAAAAATACCAGTGTTATATCTAAAACACTTAACAATTACTTAATAGCATTAAATACATGAAGCCCCTTTCTGAGTGTGTTGGCGCCTCTCCTACAGCGCCCACCTAGCCCGGTTGTCCCAACCCCCTGCGGGAGCTACACACGCTCCGGAAGCCAGGGACAGAGATTGGGTCCCTCTCCTTCCTGGCGATGGTGACAGCACCTGTTCGGATCTGGTTGTGTGCTGCCGTCCAGAGCGCCCAGCCCGGTGCAGAAGGAGCCCGCCCAGCGCTGGGGACTCCGACGCGGAGCCCCTTCCCCTACTGCACGTACGCCCAGCCCCGCCCCACGCACGCCCTCGCTTGGCGCAGCTGCACTCCTGTCCTCCCGCAGGTCCGAGGGCGCCGGAAACCCAGCGGCTGCGAAGCAGAGAGGAGCCCCGTGCGTCTCCGCCCGTAGGGCTCCGGGTCTGGGGTCTGCGCTGGAGCCGCGCGGGCAGAGGCCGTCGCTGCGCCCGCCGCGCCCTCTCCCGACCGTCCGGGTCCGCGGCCAGCCCGGCCACCAGCCATGGGCTGTCGCCCGCTGTCGCCGCCGCGGCTGCTGCTGCTGCTGTCTCTGCTGCCAGGTACGCTCACGGGCGTTAGGGCTCCGGAGGAACGGGCGCCCGAGAGGAAGCGCGGGATCCGGAGGGGCTGCCGGTGAGAGCACCGTGCGGGCGAGCGGAGAAGGCTGGCGCGGTAGCCGTGGACTCGGAACCCGCGCAAACTCGCTTCAGCCCGGCGGCGACTTGGGTGGGGTGGCTTTTTCCCTTTCGGCTCGCCCCCTACCCCTAGGCACCACCAAACCTGGGAGTCACCGAGCGGACGCTGGTAGGCGCGGGGTAATGGGGAGGTCGAGACTGGGTCCTTCGTCTTGGGCGCAGGAGTTGGGGATTCGCGTCCCAGCGCTGCCCGTCGCCCTGCCCCGCGCACTGGCTCCCAAACTGGCACGCCCAAGCCACCCGCTCCACCGTCTGCACCCCGCCCACCTCCTCATTTGACGGATAGATAGGGAAACTGTATCCAGAGGTGGCTAAAGACTCGGCCAAGGCCACCTGGGGGAAAGGAGAGTCGCTTCGGGACTGGGGCTGGAGCCGGCGCGCCAGCCTCTCCTCCGGTCCTAGCCCCTAGCGCTCCTGGCCGCCTCGCTGTGGGACCTTCCACCGGGAGAGTGCCTCCCGTCTTCCTCCCGCTCTCCAGAGGAGCCTGCTGGGGGAAGCCGGCCCTGGCCCGCCGCTGGGAGGCTCTTGGGTGCCTGGGAGGGCTGGTGGATAGCGAGGGTCGGGACCCGGCAGGGCTGCAGGGAATTCCCGGCGGGCCCGGGCGGGCGGTCTGTTGTGCGATTGTGCGCTCAGAGAGCTTTCTGCCCTCGGTGCCGAGGCCTCTACTATTCAGAACGGCCATACACTCTCAACCGACCTCCTGCCTGGGACCCTCCTTTCATTCTGGGGGAGGGGAGGGGGGAGCTGGAAAAATCCCATTTCAAGACCTGACGAAGTTGGATTCAACTTCCCAGAGGATTTCCCTCCCGCCTCCCCAAGCTGCCCCCGGATCTGTACGTGGGAATCAGAAGACAGCTGACCCCCGTATGCCTCACCTGTACTGGGGTGTGGCTTAGGAACAAAGAGGGGTGCCTAAGGGTTGCAGAGAGGTCAGAGTCTTTGATCAGGATGTGAAGACGGCATCAACAAGAGCTGGGGGTCACACGAGATCACGGGAGCCACATAGTGCCCTGGCTTCTAAGAGGGTTGGTGGCCAAACCCCTACAGGGTGCAATGCAGGAGAGGCCCAGACCTGGGTTGCGTTCTCCCAGAGGCTGGGAGGCAGAAGACCTGGGCCTGGGTGACCGTGGGTGGCCCTGCCCCTGGGGGTGGACTGGCCATCTTTCCATAGCGGAAGCAGCAAGTGGCTGTATCTAGGCAGACAGCATTTGAACCACACCCCTGCCTTGCAGTAACAACCCAGGAAAGGATTGTGAATAGTTCTTGAGCTCTTAGCACAGCACCAAGCTGTGCACTTCCTTCACAACAACCCTTTGAGGTGGATACGTTTATAATCCTCATTTTGACTGGTAAAGACCCTGAGGTTCAGAGAGGTTAAGCCACTTGCCTAAGCTCACACAGCTCACAAGTGATTTGTCAGGATTTGCACCAGATCTGTCCAACTCCAGAACCCAGGCTTGCAACCACTGTGCTTCTCACTGAATGTGTGTGGCCTGGTAGAATCCTGCTCCTCTTGGGCCTCAGTTTCCCATTCTGTAACCCACTGGATAAGACTAGCCTGAAAGTCTAGGGTTCCACAGAATCCCTCCACAGGTGGAGGGGACGCTGTAGATGGGTGATGTTTCTGGTGGGCTGGGTGGGGGAGGTTAAGTAATGATTTCCCGGGGACTGACAGGGCTGCTTCCCCCAGTGGCCAGGGCCTCAGAGGCGGAGCACCGTCTATTTGAGCGGCTGTTTGAAGATTACAATGAGATCATCCGGCCTGTGGCCAACGTGTCCGACCCAGTCATCATCCATTTCGAGGTGTCCATGTCTCAGCTGGTGAAGGTGGTGAGTGCTGGAGCCACGAGCCGTGGCTATGGGGACCGGAGCTTCTGAAGGAGCCTTTCCCAGAGTGAGCCTTGTTTATGTAATTCTCCTGTCTACTTTAATCCCTCTTTCTAGGATGAAGTAAACCAGATCATGGAGACCAACCTGTGGCTCAAGCAAGTAAGTGACCAGACCCTAGGCACTGCTGCCCCCTGGTGGTGACTTCTTTATTTGCTTCAGGTGAACCAAGAAGGGCCCAACGACCAGGCTTTATTTACTTCTGTAGAACCCAGACTGGACTGACTGGCAGATCTATCTCTTCTAAGGCTTGAGGTCACATGCACTGCCCAACAGTCCTCCTGGAAGGACTGTAGGGCCCAACCCCTCAAGTCCCAGTTGGACAGGTTTCAGCCTGGTGAAAGACATTCTCCATGTTCAAACAACAGAACAGTATGAACCTGAGATTGAAGCCCTGCCCCCAAACCCTAGGGTGGTGCCTGAGACACCTCCTTCTCTCCTTGCTAAAAACTCAATTTTTTTTTTCCAGACAGGATCTCGCTGTGTCACCCGGGCTGGAGTGCTGTGGTGCAATCTCAGCTCACTGCAGTCTCCACCAGCAGGGTTCAAGCAATTCTCCTGCCTCAGCCTCCCAAGTAGCTGGGACCACAGGCATGCACCACCACGTCCGGCTAATTTTTGTATTTTTTATAGAGACAGGGTTTCACCATGTTGCCCAGGCTGGTCTCAAATGCCTGAGCTCAAGCAATCCACCCACCTCGGCCTCCCAAAGTGCTGGGGTTACAGGCATGAGCCACTGCACCTAGCCCAGAAACTCATTCTTAAGTCAGAATCATATGCTGCTGTTGTTGGTAGCATGGGAGTAGATTTTTCTGTTCACATTGAGGCCAAGAAATTGGCTTCCACATGTCCTCCCGAGGGAGGCTTTGTCCAGACTTGCCAGGAGACATAATGGCCCATTGGCCTGCTGGTGACCCTTCTGCCAGCCTTGCCAGCTGAGCACTCAGCACACAGAGCCTTCATCCCCAGGAGGCTGGAAAGCCAGATGGGCACAGTGCCCCACCCAGTACTTGATGCACACGTTCCCTCTGTGGCCGCAGCCTCACCCCTCTCTCCTCTGGTGCTCAGGACTCAGACCTCCCAGACACTTCCTGGGCCCTGCGGGGGTCATGGCTTCTTCCCCCAGAACCTTTCAGAGGCCAGCCTTGCTTAACCTTGGGATGAAAGAGAGTCTGTATTGGAAAACACCCCTGGAGAACCATTCAGGGGCTGTAAACAGCAGGCACATGGACCTGGACATGGTGCAAGAAGTCCAGGAGGCTCCGCCTGGCACTAGAAGTGACCAGAGAAAGCACCAGTAGACCCTGTTTGGTTGATGAGGGGCTGGGCTTGCTCACGGTTATGTGGGCAGTGGCTTCCCTAGTGCCAGGAGGCGGCCTGCAGATCCAGCCCTGTGCTCTCTCCCCACTGCACCCACAGGAGAAGTTGGACTATGTGATCATGGCATGGATGTGGCTCCGTCACATGCAGCAGGGGTGAGGACTCACCAAGATGGGTGGTGCCAAGAGAAGTAAAACCAGGCTGATTCTTTTACTCTCTCCTTCTCCCTCCCTGCTTCCTTCCCTGAGAGCTGGAATGACTACAAGCTGAAGTGGAACCCCTCTGACTATGGTGGGACAGAGTTCATGCGTGTCCCTGCACAGAAGATCTGGAAGCCAGACATTGTGCTGTATAACAAGTAAGGTGCTGGGGGGCCCATGCCCTCTCAGGGCTGTCAGCCTGGGCTCTGGGTTTTTGGCCCACTGTGCTTAAAACTTGGCCTTTTCCAAGAGGGCTTCATTCATTTGTTTATTCCACAGGTACATATTCAGCAACCGCTGAATCATCCATGGATGATTGGATCCAAATCATCCAACTCATTTTCTCTCTCTTCTCCTAGTTAGAATTTCAGTTGCTCAGGATTGACCCTCTGTTAAGGATTTCTCTTCATTTTTTAACACAGTAGGAACATGTGTTTTCATATACCAAAATTTCTCCTATGATATTTTGTTTTCTAAAGTTCATTCCCTGATAGTATACCAGGGACCAGAGATGTTGGAAAGCCATGGATAGCAATAGTTTGCTGAATGGCTTCAAAACAGGCATGGGTGGGTGGAGGAAAGCTTCGGGGAAGAATTGGCATTTGAATTGAGTCCTGAAGATTGTGCAGGATCTCAGGACATGGAGCAGACGAGGGCCTGGGGAGGCAGGAGAGTATGTCATGGGCAGCCAAGGTGACCTCATTGGCTGGACTGTGGGACATAAGGATGGAAAGATCCATGGGCCAAGGACAAACCTGTGTGTGGAGGGGGAAGCTCAGATGCCGGGGGCGCCTGGAATGTAGCATCTGTTCGCAGCTCTGTGCAAACAGACAGGAATGGAGTAAATGGTCCCTCCTCACTTTTTCTTTGAGAGAGAATGAGAGTGTTGGAGATCATAGCTGGGTGGGCCCCGCCTGGCTAATTTTTGTATTTTTTAGTAGAGATGGATTTTTTCCATGTTGGCCAGGCTGGTGTCTTAAACTCCTGACCTCAAGCAATCTGTCTGCCTTGGCCTCCCAAAGTGCCAGGATTACAGGCATGAGCCACCGTACCCAGCCCCGATGAGCTTTTTAAAAATACAGGTCTTGGCCAGCCATGGTGGCTCATGCCTATAATCCCAGCACTTTAGGGGGCTGAGGCAGGCAGATCATTGGAGGCCAGGAGTTCGAGACCAGCCTAGCCAACGTATCAAAACCTCATCTCTACTAAAAATACAAAAAAAAAAAAAAAATTAGCCAGGCATGGTGGCGTGTGCCTGTAATCCCAGTTATTCCAGAGGCTGAAGCAGGAGAATCACTTGAACCTGGGAGGTGGAGGCTGCAGTGAGCTAAGATCGCACCACTACACTCCAGCCTGGGTGACAGTGAGACTCCATCTCAAAACAAACAAACAAAAATACAGGTGCCTGCATTCAAAATATTTTCTTCTTTGTTCTTCACTGTCTTTTCTAAAGTTAATATGTATTACGTTATCAAAAAAATCTCTATACCTGTCCCCAGGTCCTGCCCCACAGAAACACTGAGTCAGTGGCTCTGGGTAGGCCTAGGAATGGGTGTTTTCACAAAGCTGTTCCAGGGACTCGTGTGACCAGCTTGTTTTGGGGATCCCTGATCTGGCCTATCCCTGACATTTCACAGATAAGGACTGAGGCCCAGAGTGGATGTGTGGCACAGCCGGGCCTGGGGTGGCCTCAGCCATCCACTGTAGCTTTCGGGCCGCTGTGGGCAGTGGATGCAGGAGGCCGATGCTGTGATCAGGGGCTGAGCTGGACACCCCAGCCTGTCTCTGCCTGTGTCCCCAAACCTCTACTCTACTCTCTCAGCAGCAAACCTGCCGTCAGACAGCTACCCTGCTACACTGTGTACCCTTCAGAACTCCTCCCACTGGGAAAAGGTCTGGGCCTTGGAGAAAGGATTGATGCTCCCCCAAGTATGTGAAGTGAGGTTCCCATGTACAGAGTAGCATGAGCTTTCTGGGCCCCGTGCTCGCAGCCCGTCTGGGTGGCTACATCCAGATCATAGTTGAGAAGGGTGAGTCTAGGACTAAAAAGACTTCCCTGGCTCCTGCCTTCCAAAGAAGCTGCTCTTGAGCCGGTCCTTCACAATGGGCTACTTCCAGTCTCCTCTGGATCCAGAATGCACATCTTCCCGCCAATTTTGGGAGGCCTCTCCTCTTTCTCTCTTGTAAAGGTTCTTCCTCTGCCAGACTGGTCCTGCTCATCATGGCACCTCCAAAACCCCTCTCTTTTCTCTAAGTCCACTCAAAACTAATACTTTTCACATTTAAGCTCTTTCATTTGACTGACATAAATTTCAGTTGGTATTTTACAGTATGCTCGTTAGTTCTGTAGGTATTGAAGAATGTCATTTTTGTACCTGTGCTTTGGAGTTAAAATGTTTTAACATTTAAACATTTTACATTTACATTTAAACAATTTTCAGCAAAACACTTGATATAGAATTAGTCTATTCTGATTTTAACGCTAAAAATATGTCTAGGTTTTTATGCCGTATTAGTACAAAATAATGTTTTCTTAGTAGTAGTGTTGATTTTACAGTTAGTGTCAGAACTAGAGAAGCTAGGTTTTATACCGAATCACACTTTCTGGACTCTGGCAAAAACAAAAGGGGGTCTTGACTCACTCCGAAGACAGTCCATGTTTTATTTACTATTTTCCCAAGGAAACATAGCACTTATAAATGTTTCTTCTATGTAATTTGTATTTGTAAACTGGTCATCAAAGAACTGGGACATAGTATAAACTTAACAGGCTTGCAGGTTTTTTTGTTGTTCACTGTGAGTTGTCATAGGAATCACATAGTTCAAATGCTCTTAAGGGAACTGGGCAGGGTGTAGAGAATTTTTGCTAAGCTAGAATTCAGAAAATGAGCAGAAAGTTTAATCTTTATGTTTTGGGTTTTATAACCATTTTCTTGCTGGCAATCTTGAGTGAACAGCTGGAGTACTATAGGATGTATGATTTTAGCAATAATGAGAAGCGTAGCAAAATGTTTCAAATTGGATGTGGAGAGGAGCAAATATCATAAGGAATTTCCTTGAAATCTGAAGCTGAAAATAACATTTAGAAAAAATCATCCAACTCATTTTCTCTCTCTTCTCCTAGTTAGAATTTCAATTGCTCAGGATTGACCCTCTGTTAAGGATTTCTCTTCATTTTTTAACACAGTAGGGACATGTGTTTTCATATACCAAAATTTCTCCTATGATATTTTGTTTTCTAAAGTTCATTCCCTGATAGAATCCTCCAAGTGTTCATGGACACTGTAACTCTGTGTTCTGGCAAGTTCATAATTCATTGTAACCTTTTTAGAGAATACTTTTAGGTAACTTGGCTGGGTGTAAAATCATTGGCTCCTTTTTACCTTCCATGAAAATCTTTTTTTTTTTTTTTTTTTTTTTTTTTTGAGACAGAGTCTTGCTGTGTTGGCCAGGCTGGAGTGCCTCGGCTCACTGTAATCTCTACCTCCTGGGTTCCAGCTATTCTCCTGCCTCAGCCTCCTGAGTAGCTGGGATTACAGGTGTGTGCCACCATGCCCAGCTAATATTTTATATTTTTAGTAGAGACAGGGTTTCACCATGTTGGCCAGGCTGGTCTCAAACTCCTGACTTCAAGTAATCTGCCCACCTCAGCCTCCCAGAGTGCTAGGGTTACAGGTGTGAGCCACCATTCCTGGCCTGCTTGTTCTTATGTTTCATCTGGTTTTACTTATTTATTTTTTTTGAGACAGAGTCGAGCTCTGTCACCCAGGCTGGAGTGCAGTGGCACGATCTCGGCTCACTGCAAGCTCCACCTCCCAGGTTCACACCATTCCCCTGTGTCAGCCTCCCAAGTAGCTGGGACTAGAGGCGCCTGCCACCACATCCGGCTAATTCGTGTGTGTGTGTGTGTGTGTGTGTGTGTGTGTGTGTGTGTGTGTATATATTTGTATTTATATATATATACACACACACAAAATTAAGTGAAATTTAAATACACACACACATATATATATATATATATTTTTTTTTTTTTTTTCTTGAGATCGAGTCTCACTCTGTCGCCCAGACTGGAGTGCAGTGGCACAATCTCAGCTCACTGCAAGCTCTGCCTCCCAGGTTCACGCCATTCTCCTGCCTCAGCCTCTCAAGTAGCTGGGACTACAGGCACCCACCACCACGCCTGGCTAATGTTTTTTATATTTTTAATAGAGATGGGGTTTCACCATGTTAGCCAGGTTGATCTCAATCTCTTGACCTCGTGATCCGCACGCCTCAGTCTCCCAAAGTGCTGGGATTACAGGCATGAGCCACTGCGCCCGGCCTCTTCTGGTTTTATTTCTAGAATGATTTTTTTCTTTTTCCTAATTCTTTCCTAAATTCTACTAATTCTTTATACATTCTGTTTAACCAAATTATCCCTTGTCTTTTCTGATTTCTGTTGTTGTTTCACAGTTTCTAAAAATTTCTTAGTTTCTTTTCACTTAATTTGTAATATCAGATTATCATCAGCTTCATCTGGTTGGTGACTCTGTTTTTGTAGTTGCCGTTAATCTGCATGTGTGTTAATTCAGTTACTTGTTTTTGTATTTTCCTTTCTTTCTTTCTTTTTTTTTCCTTTTTTTGAGACATCGTTTTTTTGCTCTTGTCACCTAGGCCAGAGTGTAATGGCATGATCTTGGCTCACTGCAAATTCTGCCTCCCGGATTCAAGCAATTCTTCTGCCTCAGCCTCCCAAGTAGCTGGGACTACAGGCGCCTGCCACCACGCCCAGCTAAATTTTTTTTTTTTGTATTTTCGGTAGAGACGGGGTTTCACCATGTTGGCCAGGCTGGTCTCAAACTGCTGACCTCAGGTGATCCGCCTGCCTCATCCTCCCAAAGTGCTGGGATTATAGGCATGAGCTGCTGCACCCAGTTTGTGTTTTTCTTACAGTATGTTTTCATAAGGCTCTGTTGCTCTTGTTTAAATAGATGTCCTTGGCTGGGTGCGGTGGCTCAAGCCTGTAATCCCAGCACTTTGGGAGGCCGAGACGGGCGGATCACGAGGTCAGGAGATCGAGACCATCCTGGCTAACCGGGTGAAACCCCATCTCTACTAAAAAATACAAAAAACTAGCCGGGCGAGGTGGCAGGCGCCTGTAGTCCCAGCTACTCGGGAGGCTGAGGCAGGAGAATGGCGTGAACCTGGGAGGCGGAGCTTGCAGTGAGCTGAGATCCGGCCACTGCACTCCAGCCTGGGCGACAGAGCGAGACTCCGTCTCAAAAAAATAAAAATAAAATAAAAATAAATAGATGTCCTTGCTGTACTTTTAGGGCAAGTTGCTGGAGGGAATAGGAGAAGACAGGTAGTTACCTTGAGGTAACACTTGTCTCTCTGCATAGACACCTCCACAGTCTCCACAGTCATGACACCACACCACATGCCACAGTCATGGCACCTCCATGAGCTGCTGTCTCTGGATGCTGACTTCAGTTTCTGAACCTTCTTTCTCTTCTCAACCCCACTTTTTACCCCATTGAGTTTGGATCCTACCATAAGCTGCTTTTTCTCTGAGTGGTTCTCTGTCCTTCTGGCAGGGAGGTTTGGGGAGGCATTTCTGACATCCTTGGGAGCCCACGCCAGCCGACTGACCTCTGCAGACCCCAAGTGGGTTCCCGTGGGGTTTTTGTTGTTGTTCTTACCCACAAATCGGAACCTGTGGAGCCCTCTCTGCCCCATTGTTCCTCTTGCCGAGGATTCAGCGCAGAGTGGCGTCCTCGTCTTTTGAGGGGCAGCCACTTCTTGGAGATTTCTGTGTCTGGCACTTTTAGGATCTTAGGACATGAGAACCCATCTTTCTTTTCCCCTGGCTGCCTCTACCCAGCAGCTAATCGCATGGGGGTCCCACAGGTCCTGCTGGTGGTGGTGGTCTGACCCCACACTCTCATATCCTGAGGTGCTGCGTAACCTAACTTTGTTGACGATGTGATCAGAAGGTTTGTTATTTTTCTGTCATCCTAGTTGCCCTATTTTTCTGAAGAAATTTAGAGAGATTTTAAAAACCCATGCCATCATGATCGTTCTCATAGCCCTCACCACCCCACCCCACTTCTGTTCTAAAATATCTGTATGATAGTGCTACCTTGGCTGATCATTTGCACCCATACTACCTTTTCTTTTTTAATTGCCTCACATGGTTTGGCAGTACGTTGCTCAGACCCCTCCCACCTCTGCTGTCCCTTGCTGCCAGCCATCTCTGGGTGTGATGTTTATTGATTGATTGATTGATTGAGACAGAATCTCACTCTGTCATCCAGGCTGGAGTGCAGTGGTGCCATCTCAGCTCACTGCAACTTCCACCTCCTGGGTTCAAGCAATTCTCCTACCTCAGCCTCTCTAGTAGCTGGAATTACAGGTGTGTGCCACCACACCCAGCTAATTTTCGTATTTTCAGTAAAGACGGGGTTTCATCATGTTGACCAGGCTGGTCTCAAAACTCCTGACCTCAGGTGATCCGCCCACCTCAGCCTCCCAAAGTATTAGGATCACAGGCGTGAGCCACCGCGCCCAGCTTTCCTTTATTTTTTGGTCATTCGTTAGGTGAACAAATATTTACTGAGTGCCCTTTATGAGGCTGGTGCTGTGCCAGACCCCAGTCTCCAGCTGGGTCTGCATGTTGTGTCTCCTCCTAGCAGAGATATAACTGTTGACACTGCCCCAGGCAGCACACAGTCCTTCTGATCTGGGCAGATACACCCCAGGGGTGCCGTGGGCAGCAGCAGCAGTGACCAGGATCCCCAGAAATGAGCCATCAGCCCAGCTCAGCTAACCTCTACCATAAACTCTCTGGGGTCTCCGGCAAATCATTCCTGTCCTTTGACCCTCAGTTTTCTCGTCAGCAAAATGAAGCCTTTGGACTAGAGCAGGGGCTAGCGAATGTTTTCTCTAAAGGGCCAGAGAATAAATATTTTAGGCGTTGTGGGTCGTACGTACAGTCACGGTCACAGCTATTCATCTCTGCCCTTGGAACTCAAAAGTAGCCACAGATAATAGACCACAAAAGGCAGTGGCACTATTCCCCCCAGATTTTATTTACAGAAATAGGACCGCAGCTTGCCAACCCCTGGTCCAGACCTTGGGCTCTGAAGCTCCCTTGCTGCTCTGACATTTTGTTGATCCAGGATTCTGCGAGGAATTGGTTCAGGAGGCCTCTCCTTCCCAAGGGTCTTTTCAACCTTCTGCTTAGCCCAGCCCTCTCCAGGGCCCCTCAGTGCTGAACATGGGCTGAGTCCACTTGGAGACTGTGTGGATATTCACCTCCACCCCCACCCTCCTACCTCTCCCTTTTTGCTGCAGCCAGAGGCAGGAATACTCTTGTAGGGAATTAAGGGCATGGTGGGAGTGAAGTGGGGCAAAGAATGTATAAACTCAGCAGGGCACCTTTGGGGGCAAACCAGCCAACCAGAGGAAAGACAGGTAGTGGCTTTGGCATTTAACCTTCATGGGTAATGATTATCCTCCTCAGCCAAGACCCAGGAGAAACTAGCAAGGAAGAAGGACACGCACCAGAACATTCCCCTTCTGTTTTCACAGGTTCTCATCCAGTTACAGCAGCACAAAGATATCGCTAGATGTTTAGGTTTTTCAGCTCTTTGTTTACAAGGCAAAGGCGTGTGGCGGTTGCTCCCTTTGAAGGATGTAAATGCCTTCACAAGGCTAAGAAACTTAACAGGGCGGATCTGAGGAATTTTTAAGAACCTTCCTGGGCAGGGCCATTGTGGAAGCAACCGGCCTTGCTCTCAGATGGACCATCTGGCCTTCATGGACGGAATGCCCAATGCAAGACTCAACAGGGATCATCAGCTGATTTTCTGTCAAACAAACCAACAAGACTATTCCTAGAAAAACGTACATTTCTAAGGCCAGGCAGTGGCTGAAGCCTGTATTCTCGGCACTTTGGGAGGCCGAGGTGGGTGGATCCCTTGAGGTCAGGAGTTTGAGACCAGCCCAGCCAACATGGCAAAACTCCATCCCTACTAAAAATACAAAAAGTAGCCAGGTGTTGTGGCACATGCCTGTAATTCCAGCTACTCAGGAGGCTGGGGCAGGAGACTCACTTGAACCCTGGGAGACAGAGATTGTAGTGAGCTACTGCATGCTAGCCTGCTCAAAAACAAAAGAAAAGAAAACCATATTTCTGTGTGAAAATGAAGTCAGGATGTACATAGTGAAAAGGAAGGGAGAAGAAACATGGGGAGAAAATGGGGACAGATAGAGACACAGAAAGTGAAGAAATCTGTTATGCTGAATTCAAAAGACAAGGAAGCAAAAACATGATTATTATAAAACAGTACTGGGAAGAATGGGGGTGAGGAGGGTACAGGGAATGGTCGAATCAGGATCCAGAGATAGGGTTTGGAAATAAACCCATCTGATGAGGTTCTGTTTAATGGGGGTAGACTCCCCTGTGTGGTCTCCGCGGCCCCTTCCAGCTCCCAGTGCAGACTGAGAGGGCCAAGCCTCAGGGACCCTGGGTGGCAAATAATCCCAAAGGCTGCTTCAGCACCTGGCTCCAGGAGGATGACCTTCCTCCCATTTCTTTAATTAAAGGGGGAACAATCTAGGCATTTGGGAGTCTATCAGTTTGGGACCTGTGTTGTGGGATGAACTGGTGGCATGCCCTGAGGGGTGTTCAACATCTCAGATTGTTGTTGGGGAGGGATCTTGGGCCTCAGTATCCCCGTTGGTAAATGGGGCTGGGAATCGGGTGACTTTATGGCACTTTCAGCTCTCATCTTCCGCTGCCTTCCAAATCATTACTGTGAGAAGCTGGTCGAGATGACCACTATATGACCCAGTGTTAATGACCATGTGTTACTGTGCCCCCCATCTGTCTTTGCAGTGCTGTTGGGGATTTCCAGGTGGATGACAAGACCAAAGCCTTACTCAAGTACACTGGGGAGGTGACTTGGATGCCTCCTGCCATCTTTAAGAGCTCCTGCAAAATTGACGTTACCTACTTCCCGTTTGATTACCAAAACTGCACCATGAAGTTCGGTTCCTGGTCCTACGACAAGGCGAAAATCGATCTGGTTCTGATCGGCTCCTCCATGAACCTCAAGGACTACTGGGAGAGCGGCGAGTGGGCCATCATCAAAGCCCCGGGCTACAAACATGACATCAAGTACAACTGCTGCGAGGAGATCTACCCCGACATCACATACTCGCTGTACATCCGGCGCCTGCCCTTGTTCTACACCATCAACCTCATCATCCCCTGCCTGCTCATCTCCTTCCTCACTGTGCTCGTCTTCTACCTGCCCTCCGACTGCGGTGAGAAGGTGACCCTGTGCATTTCCGTCCTCCTTTCCCTGACAGTGTTTCTCCTGGTGATCACTGAGACCATCCCTTCCACCTCGCTAGTCATCCCCCTGATTGGAGAGTACCTCCTGTTCACCATGATTTTCGTAACCCTGTCCATCGTCATCACTGTCTTCGTGCTCAACGTGCACTACAGAACCCCGACTACACACACAATGCCCTCATGGGTGAAGACCGTATTCTTGAACCTGCTCCCCAGGGTCATGTTCATGACCAGGCCAACAAGCAACGAGGGCAACGCTCAGAAGCCAAGGCCCCTCTCTGGTGCCGAGCTCTCAAATCTGAATTGCTTCAGCCGTGCAGAGTCCAAAGGCTGCAAGGAGGGCTACCCCTGCCAGGACAGGATGTGTGGTTACTGCCACCACCGCAGGATAAAAATCTCCAATTTCAGTGCTAACCTCACAAGAAGCTCTAGTTCTGAATCTGTTGATGCTGTGCTGTCCCTCTCTGCTTTGTCACCAGAAATCAAAGAAGCCATCCAAAGTGTCAAGTATATTGCTGAAAATATGAAAGCACAAAATGAAGCCAAAGAGGTAAGGATATGGCTCTTATTATATTGATCATTCATTCATTCAACAAACATTTACAGATTCCTCGTGGGGCAAGGCATAGGGTAGGGGTTAAGAAATTACACTCTGGAGTCAGTGGCCTGTGTTAAGACCAGTTATATGTCCTAGGGTATGTTACCTCACCTCTTGGAGCATGTTTTCTCGTCTGTAAAATGGGATGATCAAGCATGTAGTATGTGGTACCCAGAAGCTAGCCACCAGGCTGCCAGCAGGCCGGACCATGAAAACACTTGATGCCAATAGAGTAGATTAGGATGTAGGCTGGAAAAGGGCATGGGGCCAGATGATCTCCAGTTGGTATTGGTTAACTGAGGTTATATTTTTATTTTTACTTTATTTTTAATTATTTTTTTGAGACAGGGTCCTGCTCTGTCACCCAGGCTGGAGTACAGTGGCTCAATCTTGGCTCACTGCAACTTCTGCCTCCTGGCTCAAGCGATTCTCCCATCTCAGTTTCCTGAGTAGCTTGAACTGCAGGTGCCCTGCCATCATGCCCTACTTTTTTACTTTTTTTTTTTTTTTTTTTTTTTGAAACGGAGTCTCGCTCTGTCACCTGGGCTGGAGTTCAGTGGTGCAATCTCGGCTCACTGCAAGCTCTGCCTCCCAGGTTCATGCCATTCTTCTGCCTCAGCCTCCCCAGCAGCTGGGACTATAGGTGCCTGCCACCACACCTGGCTAATTTTTTGTATTTTTAGTAGAGATGGGGTTTCACCGTGTTAGCCAGGATGGTCCCGATCTCCTGACCTTGTGATCCGCCCGCCTCAGCCTCCCAAAGTGCTGGGATTACAGGTGTGAGCCACTGCGCCAGGCAATTTTTGACATTTTTTTGTAGCAATGGAGTTTTGTCATGTTGTCCAGGCTAGTTTCAGACTCCTCGACTCAAACTATCTGCTCACCTCAGTCTCCCAAAATGCTGGGACTACAGGTGCGAGCCACTGCACCTGGCCTTTATTTTTACTTTCTAATTATATATGTGTTCTCATTGAGGAAGAATTTATGTAGAGTAAAGTGCACACCTCTTCAATGTACATGTCAATGAATGTTTACATCATGTATAGAACCATGTAACCAAGATCCAGGTAAAGATATAGAACACTCCCAGTGCCCCAAAAATTCCCCAATGCCTTTGCCAGTCAGTGTCTCCTTCCCTGCTTGATACCCACCATCCTGGCTTAGGCGCAGTGGCTCTCACCTGTAATCCTAGCACTTTAGGCAGCTGAGGCAGGTGGATGGCTTGAGATCAGGAGTTTGAGACCAGCCTGGGAAACATAGCGAAACCCTGTCTCTAACAGAAATACAAAAATTAGCCAGGCATGGTGGCATGTGCCTGTTGTCCTAGCTACTCAGGAGGCTGAGGTGAGAGGATCACTGGAGCCCAGGACGTCTAGGCTGCAATGAGCCATGATCATGCCACTGCACTCCAGCCTGGGTGACAGAGTGAAGTCCTTTCTTAAATTAATTAATTAATTTTTTAAAAATAACCATTATACTGATTTATTTGATAATTGATTCGTTTTACCTTTTTTTTGTTTTGTTTTTTTTTTTTGTTTTTTTTGAGATGGAGTCTTGCTCTGTCACCCAGGCTAAAGTGCAGTGGTACAATCTCTGCTCACTGCAAGCAACCTCTGCTTCCCAGGTTCAAGTGATTCACATGCCTCAGCCTCCAGAGTGGCTGGGACTACAGGTGCCTGCCTGCCTGCTACCATGCCTGGCTAATTTTTTGTATTTTAGTAGAGACGGGATTTCGCCATGTTGGCCAGACTTGTCTCGAACTCCCGACCTCAGGTGATCCACCTGCCTTGGCCTCCCAAAGTGCTGGGATTACAGGTGTTAGCCACCATGCCCGGCCAGTTTTACCTATTCTTGAGTTTCATATAAATGGAATCACATAGTATAAACTCTCCCATGTCTGACTCCTTTCATTCAACATAATGTCTTTGAGGTTTATCTTTGTTGCTGTTTCTTTCTTATTAGTGTGTAATATTCCATAATATGACTATAATACTGCCTTCTGTTTGTTTTACATTTGTTGGACATTTGGTTATTTCCAATTTGAGGCTACTATGAATAAAACTGCTACAAATATTTATGTCTTTTGGTGAACGTATGCGCTTATTTCTCCTGGATGTATACCTAGCGGTGGAATTGCTGGATCATTGGAGAGATGTCTTTAACTTCAGTGCATACTGTAAGGTTTCCAGAGTGATGGAATCATTTGACACTTCCCTAGCGATGTTTCAGCGTTCCATTTGCTTCACACCCTCGCTAACGTGTGTGATGTGGCATTTTACTGCGGATTTAATTAGCATTTTCTCATTGAGTAATTATTAGGGCTCTTTGTCATATACTTATTGGTCATTTGGATATCTTCTTTAGTGAAGTATCTATTCACATTCTTTTGCCCATTTTTTTGAGATGGGGCGTTGCTATGTTGCCCTAGCTGGTCTCAAAACTCCCAGGCTCAAACGATTCTCCTGCATCAGCCTCCCAAGTTGCATGCTGGGACTACAGGTGCTACCACACCCAGTTCTTGCCCATTTTTTAATTTGTATTATTATTATTATTATTTTAGATGGAGTTTCACTCTTGTTGCCCAGGCTGGAATGCAATGGTGTGATCTCAGTTCACTGCAACCTCTGCCTCCTTGGTTCAAGTGATTCGCCTGCCTCAGCCTCCCAAGTAGCTGGGGTTACAGGCATATGCCACCACACCTAGCCAATTTCGTATTTTTAGCAGAGGCGGGGTTTCACTATGTTGGTCAGGCTGGTCTCAAACTCATTACCTCAGATGATCCACTCACCTCGGCCTCCCAAAGTGCTGGGGTTATTACAGACATGAGCCACCATGCCCAGCCCATTTTTTTAATTGAGTGAACTTAGTTCTGTTTTCTCCAAAAATCTAATGCTTGAACTTAAGAACTGAGAACTTATGTCAAGTAATAAGAATAGGAAAGACTTACTGTAAATAATGTCATGTGCCTGGTCATTCCATGACTGTATACCACCAAGGTTACCAGGACCACACTTAATGACTTTATGAGAAGTTCTGCTTTAAAATTAAGTGGATCTGCCTTAAGTTGTTTATCAGCAAAGAGGTAATTACCAGATAACTTCATCTCTTGACCCACTGTAGGCAATTAATATTGATAAGGTATGTCTGGAGCCTCTTTTATTCAGCTGTGAGTGGCATACCAAAGTGGATGGGACAGGAGGGAGACAGCCACAGCTGCCCTCATCCCCTCACCCCCACCCATCTGAGCAACTATGAGTATGTCTTCTGACCATAATGGTGCAAAACCTCCAGCTGATCCCAGTAATTTAGCAGAAGAGTCAGGCACTCCTTTAAATTCAGTTGAAGTAGTTGTTGGACACCATGAGTAATTAGAAGTGAACAAATGAACAGGGCCGGGCGCAGTGGCTCACGCCTGTAATCCCAGCACTTTGGGAGGCCGAGGCGGGTGGATCACCTGAGGTCGGGAGTTGGAGACCAGCCTGACCAACACGGAGAAACCCCCATCTTTACTAAAAATACAAAATTAGCTGGGCATAGTGGCGCATGCCTATAATCCCAGCTACTTGGGAGGCTGAGGCAGGAGAATCACTTGAACCCAGGAGGCAGAGGTTGCAGTGAGCCAAGATTGAGCGCCATTGCACTCCAGCCTGGGCAACAAGAGCAAAACTCCATATCAAAAAAAAAAAAAAAAGTCCGGGCGTGGTGGCTCAAGCCTGTAATCCCAGCACTTTGGGAGGCCGAGACGGGCAGATCACGAGGTCAGGAGATCGAGACCATCCTGGCTAACACGGTGAAACCCCGTCTCTACTAAAAAAATACAAAAAACTAGCTGGGCGAGGTGGCGGGCACCTGTAGTCCCAGTGACTTGGGAGGCTGAGGCAGGAGAATGGTGTAAACCCGGGAGGCGGAGCTTGCAGTGAGCTGAGATCCGGCCACTGCACTCCAGCCTGGGCGACAGAGCGAGACTCCGTCTCAAAAAAAAAAAAAAAGTAAATGATCAGTGAAAATCTATTTGTCTGATACTGATAACTTTTGCAGACATCTTCTTTACCCACTTTAAAAATAATTATTTCTTTACTAAAGGTCGAGATCTAAGTACCTATACTCTAGCTTTTGTCAGGCTATTAGAAATTACTTTTATTCTAAAACTTATTTATTAGATACCATACAAGGTGTTAGAGTTTTAGAAGGGCCTAAGGCATGGAGACAGACATATAAAAAACTTGTAATTAAAAGGGAGGTCACAAACTTAAATACAAGGCAGGTAGATTGGTGAAATGGCCTGAATGCAACGATAGGGAGTGGTGGGGTCTGTGGCAAACTAGTGACACATGGTCCGTCTCAAGAGGCAGCCACTGCTCACCTCTGGTCATGTCTCCACATGGGCTTGTGAGCCCATTATTGCTAGATCTTCCTGTTTTTTTCAGAGAAGGCAGAAATCTGGCCAGCAAGCCACCAGATTGTCTATGAGAAAGTAGCGAGTGTTAGAGTAAAGGTGCCAACTCGGTGCTCGGAGGAGAAAGTCGAGCTGTCTGAAGGATTCCTTCTTTCCCTGAGTGACTGACACTCTGCTATTTACACAGAATTTTTCAGAGATATTTTAATTTCCTACATCTCTGGCTCCAGCTTGGCTGGTTTTAACTGTCCTTGGTTCTAAGGAGCCTAGACTGAAGCCTAGGCTGTTTTCCCAGAGCCATCTCCTGAGGGTGCTGTGAGCCTGTGAATGCTGATCCCTGGACACATTCACAGGCTCCTAAGGTAGGGGAAGTGTCCAGCCTTCCCTGGCTGTTCTTTTTAAAAAAATTGTTCACACCAAGAAGCAGCTTCTCTGCTCCTTCTTGAATCTCCGCCTGGTTCAGCCTGCCTGCCTCCACCATGTCCATCAGGGTGACCCAGACGTCCTACAAGGTGTCAACCTCTGCCCCCCAGGCCTTCAGCAGCCGCTCCTACAC